ACAGTTTTGCCCGTAATATTCCTGCTTAAAACCCTTAAAACCCTAAACCCATAAAACCCCTAAAACCCTAAACCCCTAAAACCCTAAACCCCATAAAACCCCTAAACCCCGAAACCCTGTAGAGCCTGTAGGCCTAGACATCTGCCATAGCCTCGGGTTGAGGCCTGGATCGCAGTAGAACCCCGGACCTTCCAATATCCCCAAAATTCGGAATATATCGAATATGCCTATAGCAGGATCCCTAATATGATTATATTTATATATATGTATATATATTCCTGAATATGAGGAGTATTCCTTCAATCATAGTAGGATCCCAAATATGATTTAAGGTATACTGTATTCCTGAGTTAAGGAAGATTGGGGGGGGGTCTGAGCAACCCCCGGAAGCGACTTGAATCTGTGTGCTGGCGCTTGTCAGTGCCTTGCTGGCAGCTGGGCGTGTGCCAGAACCGAAATTTTAAAACTTCGGAACGCTACATCAAAAACCAACAAAACCAAGACGCTGGACCATCCCGCACACACACCCTCAAACACCAAAACAAAACGAAACCCACACACACGGGACAAACACACACACGCACACACACACACACATCTACAGAGACACAAAACAAAACACAAGATCGCATCGCTGAGTCTCGTACCGAAATCCTCCGAGACTGGCACTTCTTCCAGAGGAGGTCGGTGGCCTCCGCGTTTCGTGGGAATTTTTTACTATTATTACATTGTATAAATGCATCTTTATTCCATCTCTTTGACAAGCTGTTTGATACTGTCATTTTCAAGAAACTGTCCTTCCTTCTTCCCTGCAGAGGGGGCCTATTCTTTGCGGTGTTTCGCTGGCTCTCTGTCCCTAAACCCTAAACCCTAAACCCTAACCCTAAGCCCTAAACCCTAAACCCATACATTCTCGGCTTGGGGGGTCGGGGCATGGGGTGCTGGGGTTGGGGATTTCGATGTCGCAGCCTGGGGGTGAAGGGCCAGGTCTGGCGTGTGTTTTGGGTTTTGGGGGTTTGGGGTTTAGGGGTTTGGGTTTAAGGGTTTAGGGTTTCGGGTTTTGGGGTTTAGGGGTTTGGGGTTAAGGGTTTAGGGGTTAGGGGTTTAGGGTTTAGGGGTTTGGGGGTTTAGGGGTTTGGGTTTAAGAGTTTAGGGTTTCGGGTTTTGGAGTTTGGGGGTTTGGGGCTAAGGGTTTAGGGTTTCGGGTTTTGGGGCTAAGGGTTTAGGGGTTTGGTGTTTAGGGGTTTCGGGTTAGGGTTTAGGGGGTTAAGGGCTTAGGGTTTAGGGGTTACGAGTTTAGGGTTTAGGGTTTAGGGTTTGGGGGTTAAGGTTTTAGGGTTTAGGGGTTCAGAGGTTAGAGTTTCGAGGTTTGGAGTTGACAGTTGAGGTTTTGAACAACTGGTTGATGATATACATCCTGCATGACCCATAGTGAGGAATACACCATAACTCCCATAGTTTGGGGTCCTTAAGGTGATGCAGGATTTTATGCCATCAACGGTACCACTACCCATGATGCCCCCAACCACTAAATCCTAACAGCATCCGTCCTCGACCCGAGGGTCCCCAAGCACCCAAGACACCAAGACCCTAAGCGCGGAGCCCGAAATCCATGCCCTGAGCCCTGAACCCTACTCTTGATGACATAAAATCCTGCCTTGCTTTAAGGACCCTAAACTATGGGAATAATGGTATATTCCTTATTATGGGTAATGCAGGATTTATATGGATTTATATCATCAACCGTAACCGCCAAGCCCAAAGCTCTGAACCCTCAACACTAAGCCCTAAACCCTAAGGACTAAGCCCAAAGCCCTGCACCCTCAACCCTAAGCCCGAAACCCTAAACCATCAGCACTTGGCGATGTGCGTTTGCGAGCATAGTAGATTGGATAGTTTTCGTGTTGGGATTCTTCTTATACCTTCTGCTACATTGACATGCTTAATTACTTTCAGAAGTTTAGCCGCAAGCCCTGAACCCCGAAACACGTAAACCTAAACCCTAACCCCCTAAGCCCCAAACTCAGGTTCGGACCACTCATGATTGCCAGGCAGAGTGCGGCTTCATTCCGACTTCCATAGGGCACTACCCCTGACACAAGGCTCCAAAGGCGGGATGAAAGGAGATAAAGAGTCTTTTACCACTTGAATTGGGTTGAGGGCTCAGGGTTTAGGATTTCGGATTTAGGGTTTAGTATTTAGGATTTAGGGTTTAGGGTTTAGGGTAGGGCTTCGGGTTGGGAAGGAATATGTATGAATATCATGCTGCGGAGCCCTAAGAAATAACATCGGTAGTTACTCCGGCTTCTAGATTAGGAAGGAATCCCCATTGAAAGTCTTAATGTAAGGGGTCCTGAATCCTACCGTTTTGAGGGCCCCTTGAACAAGGTTCGGCCCAGGCATTTAGTTGAGGGCTGCAGAGGGCTCAGGGTTTGGGACGTGGAGCATAGGGCTAGATTTTCGAGCATTGGGCTTGCTGTTTAATGTCTGTGGAAGATGTTCGACGGGCGGCCAGGGCCGAAGTCGCAATGCCTCCTGGTACACTGAAAAGAAAATACAATGATCCTAAACCCTAAACCCTAAAGGGTTTAGAGTTTAGGGCTTAGGGCCCCAATCTGCAGGGAGACCCTTCATCCGAAGTCCTCAGCCCTGTATAGGAGTTAGGACACCGACCTCCTCCTCCCCCCCCTTCGAGCCCTTTGAATTCAACCACCCATCATCGCACCCGGATGCCCAAAGCTTCAAGACCCTGGAACCCTACGCCCCAGAGCCTAAACAACCCCCCAACCCTGAAACCCTGAGCCTATAACCCTAAACCATAAACCTTAAACCCTAAACCCCAAACCTCCAAACCCTAAACCCTAAACTCCTAAACCCTAAACCCCAGACCCTAAACCGTAAACGCTACCCCATTAAAGGAACCCTATGAATTCGGGCCTGAGAGGAACTCGTGGAGAAGGATTCCAAAGGAGAAGACATCAGCCTGCACGCCATACTCACCTCAGGGTTTAGGGCTTATAGGGTTTAGGGTTTAGGGTGTAGGATTTAGTTTAGGGTTTAGGGTTTTAAGCCTTGGGGTTTAGGGCACGCTCAGAGGCTTGGGGATAACGGGCTGAGGGCATAGGCCGGGTTGGGGAGTTAGGGTCGATGCTTTAGGGTTTAGGGAGGGTTCAAACCTAAATCCCTAAACCCTAAACCCTAAACCCTAAACCCCTAAACCCCTAAACCCTAAACCGCGGTTTAGGGGATCTGCCTGCAGGTGCTCGAGCTCCTCGCTGTCTCTGTAGCATGATGCGCTGAAGGCTTCATGGCATCTCAACCCCTAAGCCCGAAGCCCAGGACCTGACCTTAAGTTAAAGGAAACTACAGGTGGGGAGTTTAGGGAATATAGGGCTTCTTTAAGGCTTCTATAAGGTATATAGACCTCCTATAAGGCTCCTATAACGGTAACTACCCACCTGAAAATGTCCTAAATGAAGAGTCCTGAAAGGCTTAAAGTTTAGGGTTTGGGTTTAGGGTTTGGGGTTTTTTTTAGGGCGGCCCTGCGCGC